TAAAGGATGAAACGCGTCACCCGAATTTTTTTTCCAATTTGTCGTATATCTTTCCCCCATATATAATAATATTAAACAGGAAGCAAATTGAAACAGAGGGCAAAGAACCTTAAAGAGGTGGTAAATGCAAATCCAATGGACAATATGCAGAAACGATGGCAAGATAAACCTCTTCATGGTCAATACTCTGACCGTGGCGAACAAAAGGATGTAGACAAACCCCTTACTCACCAGCCGCCCGGGGTATGACGATAAACTAAATCCCCGACCTGGGTAAGACGATAAACTACGACAAACTGCAAGGCCTTTGAGCAGGATGTTTTGAGGAGCGTGGAACCACCTCATAATTGCTGGTGTTCCCAGGTCCACCCTGACCGGCGATGGTAGCACCTGTTAGGGTCCTAGCTCTGGGCAAATATTCAACCCTAAACTGGGGACAAAACACTATGAAAATAGGTTTTAATACCAGAAATATTTTGTAAAAAATATTATTACCAGCAATACATTCTGGTAAAAAAATTATTACCAGCAATACATTCTTGAAAAAAAATTATTACGAGTAATACATTCTTCAAAACAATTATTACCATCAATACATTCTTGAAAAGAAATTATTACCAGCAATACATTCTTGAAAAAAAAAATTATTACCATCAATAAATTCTTAAAAAAAAATTATTACCATCAATACATTCTTGAAAAAAAATATTACCAGCAATACATTCTTGAAAAAAATTATTACCAGTAATATATTCTTGAAAAAAATTATTACCAGCAATACATTCTTGAAAAAAAATTATTACCAGCAATACATTCTTGAAAAAAAATATTACCAGCGATACATATTTGAATGAAAATTACCAGAAATAGATTTTTGAAGTAAAAAATATTACCAGAAATAGAGTTTTGAAAGAAAAAATTAACAACACTAAAAATTTTGTCAGCATTAAATAACCCATTGAGGTTGGTATGCCGTAAAAGAAATCAAACCAAACCAAACCAAACCTTACTCATCAGTGGTTAGGCTGTGTGAGATTAAAAGCTAAATCCGAGTGTCTTATTGTTGCTGCACGGGGACCAGTGCTTGTTAACTAGAAATTACCAGGCAAACATAATTAACAATTGAGCAGGTTCTGCGATAAATATCCAGAAACAATTGAACATCAAGTATCAGGTGGCACGGCATTAGAATCCACAGAATATAAAACATGGCGTGAATGCGTAGACCAATATCTGCACCGGGAAATCTGTCATTTTTACGGGAAGGAAACTAAGAAATTGGTATGAGCACCACACAGACCCGGTAACAGATATAAGACTTGTAACAAATTTATGGGATCTTACATTACACACATACAGAACAATGAAAACTAATCGCTCAGACTTCATGATCAAAGACCACAAAAACAGAAGAGTCTTTGTCTAGTTACTGTAGAATTTTAAGAGCTTTACAAAATAAAATGATCTTGAAATGGAAATTTTAAAAAAAATGAAACGTGAAGACATCAATAATTTCAGTTGTGTTTCGAACCCTCGTGTTGACTGGGAAAAGGTTTCGATAAACACATTAAAGGGATTGCTAGTCGTCCATGCCTTGAAAATACATAAGTTTTACACAAAAGTACAGATTACACATTACGAAGAGCTTTATCTATGTAAAATGTGTGTGATATTAAGTTGTTTTCTTTTATTAATGGTAATTAAACAAAATGAACACAAAACAATCAGCTTTAAAAAAAAAAGGACTCGTAACTGGAAAAACCGAATGAAAAAAGAATATAAACAACAAATACTTTTTCACACACCACCCAGTTCTGTGGAATCAGAATCAACGTTGAGGTTAAGCAAGCGAATGAGTCAATTGGAGTAAAGTGCCATGCACATTTAAAATTTTCCCACTTGTGACGAATTTAGCTATCGATTTTGTAGCCTCTCACGCTGGGCAATAGAATCTTCCTGCCTATTCGTGGCAGCCAGCTATAGGCTCTCAGTCTGGCCAGTACAAAATGGCCGCAAACTACATAAAAACTGCTGCAGAAGCATGAAAAAATCGATTATTTCGACTATCGATGGGAGTTGGGAAATGCAAATTCGGTCTTGCCCTTCCCGCAAACTTGGAGCATGTGCATGTAAATTTTGGTGCAAATCCGTCGAAAATTACGGCCGTGCATTCGTTACACACACACACGCGCGCGCGCGCACACATCCTGCCTTTTATACATAGAGATAATAATAATAATAAGTGCATCTTTTTTGATACATTGCAGTCCCTGCAGACTGCAATGTATCTTTGAAGATATTCAAATAACTGTCAAAATACAAGGACCTTGAAATCGAAATCTCAAAAATGTGGCACATGGGAACATCAACAATCCCTGTTGTAGTTAGAGCCCTCGGATTGGTTAGAAAAGATTCCAGTAGACTAATTTATGGGATTCCTGGAAGTCCATGCCTCAAAGAGATACAAAAAATTTTTCTCGCGAGTACAACCCACACTTTACGAAGGGCTTTATCTATGTAATGTTTTTTTTTTTTGTTTTGTCAATGGAAAGTGTCATAATGCCATATTGTCATTTCTATCCTTAGGTCCCTAGGCGGGACCCGGAAAGAAATGCGTAAACGCCAGAAATCAAACGAAATAATAATAATAATAATAATAATAATAATAATAACAACAATAATGGACGCTCTCATCGGTTTCGATGTATGAGGGTTCAGTGACTCAGTTCTTCGAACAGAACAGTCAGATTATCCGCGCATATGATTTGATTATAATGATGAAGTCTTGTGCAGGAAGCAATCTAACTTTTGGAAAGAATTCCGTGGAACTGGTACACATAGTGTGCCAAAAGATCTCCAAATGACCATCTTCATGTTGTGATTTCAGTTTTCTTTCTCCTAAACTGATTGCGAACCATGGCTATAGAGTCCAGTCTATCCTGTTATTTGCCAATAGCTGGTGGGAGGGGAAAAGAAGAAATTGATTCATACTTTTCCCAAATTTATTTGTACGTAATGAACTCTACTCTAATTCGAAGTCATCTCTCCAATTTCTCGCTATCCATTACCCCACCGCGTATTCCTATATATGGTTATATATAGAGGAAGTAGAAGAAGAGAGAAATTTATATAATAATAATAATAATAATAATAATAATAATAATAATAAAAAAATTATGATTATATATGGGCCGAGTGGTGAGAACTTTCGCATTCTGAACATGAGACCCCGGTTCGAATCTCAACATGGTCGATTTGTCAGGAAGGAAACTTTCTGATGTTATTGGATTGGTGGGTTCGATCTTGGCGTTCGGCACCTTTGAAAAGTGCCTGAAAAAACCATACCACAGGCTGATCTAAGCCTTGTGAGTGAAATTGGGTAGACGGAACCGTCGATAGCTGTGCTAGCACGAAGACTCAAGTCATCGTGGCCGAGGCGTTGAGCGTGCCGGCCTTGTTCAAATTATTGATCACGCTAGATAACACACTCTTTCTCAGAAACAGTACCTAAGGTCTGCTCAGCATTGTTGCAGTATAAACCACAGGTGGGTTCTGTGGGTGCTGAATAAAAACAAATGCATCTGAGCAAGCGTCTGCAATAGGGATTGGCTAGCCGCCCTAGTACTTTCTATATATTTAAATAAATTAGGGTACCTCGACGTGGTGTAATGGTTAGTTCTGTTCCTGTTTTTTTTTCTTTAGTTTAATTCCCCATCCCTTCCCTTGTTAGGTGGGCAGTGATGTCAGTTCTCTGGTGGATACGGGGTGCTTTTTCGTGGGTTTTTTTTTTCGCCTGTGTGTATTTTTCGTCTTCTGTTGTGTTTGAATGAGTGCGTGTCTGTGTGAGTGCTAGGGATGAATGAATATTTTTTATATTTTGTAGGTCCGCATTGATTTCGTCCAGTGAACTGATGTTTCTGCCACATTTAAGTCTTGTGGAGAGTTTTATTACTAACAATGATTTGGTTTAGTTTCTTGTAAATATTAGGTTGGTGCAAAAATAATGACGTAATAATGTCGTTTTTGAGGTTAAAAATACGTCACAAAACGACATTATTACGTCATTATTTTTGCACCAACCTAATAGATTAATTCATATTGTATATACTCATTGGGGATATTTTTAATTTGTTGTTTTATTCCCCCACCCACCACATACGACGATTTGTACATATGGGGACTATTTAAGATTTTCATAGAGACAAGAGGTATTATGATGGATATAGTAAGAAAGTTTAGTAAGGATGTGTTGTTTTGGTGTTACTAATATTGTTTGTATGCTTGGTTCAGTGCTTGTAGCTAGCTAAGTTTAAAATTAAGACAGATGAAGACCGTTCTTTTCCCCATCTCCTTTTTTAGGCCTTGTGCCACATTTTCTGTAATTTTACAGAAATAAATATTGTAATGGTTAGCAAACTTCTCTTGCTAGAACAATTATGACTGAGTAGTGAGTTCAATCCATATTGGGTGCCTCTTATTTTCGGCTTTGTGCCACATCCAAGCTACACTTGAAAAATCACTATATTTAAATAGATTATGCGTGTTGCTATGTTCATACGTGTTTGTTTATCGGATAAATTAAGTTTTAAATTAATAATTCTAGACCTGGAGAAGGTTAATGTGCAAAGCAATTTTGCATTGCAAATTTCAATAAGGAATGAAAGCCTTTATTCTTTTGTCCAGACGACCGAATCACTTAGGACGTAACTAGATCCTTTTGCCTTAGCACTGCCCAATTCTCCGCCTAATTTTACCCGATCCCGCCTCTGGATTTTTTTTCTGTAAACATCAGTGGGCGAGAAAATTGAAAGAGAACTGGGCAAATAATAAGTAAATAAATAAATAAATAAGTAAGTAAATAAAAAAAGTCACAAAAGTTGCGGTGTTAACAATAGTGGCTGACCGCTAAAATAGCTGGTAACATTACTGAAAAACTATCCTCAAATAAAATCGGCCCAGGTGTTCGCGTTCGTTAAGAGCCTCAACACGCCTCATCTATCATGCCGCTCACACGGGCGGAAGTCCCTATATCACGTGACCCTTCGGATCTGCTATTACAGCCAATTCGCACGATAGATTTTCCTTTTTCTTTGTTTTCTTTTTGGGAAGTGGTAGAGATTATTCGTCTGTATTCATTTTTGTTCAGGTTGATGAAAATAATAATAATAATAATAATAATAATAATAAATAAACTCGATTGATCATCTTCTCAGGTTTACGGTGTTGACCCACTGAATATAAAACCCGACATGACAGAGGGGTATCTGCACTGGAAAATTTGCAATTCTTTGGAAGAAAACTGAAAAAAATGCTTGAATACCACCCTTTCGTCTGGAGATGGACCTGTTATAGACCATGGGGTCACAATACACTTTGACAGAACAATCAAGGCCAACCGCCCAGATATTGTTTTTAAAAAAATCATTCTTATTGATATGGCAGTCCCAGCTGACTGCAATGTATTTTTGAAGATATTCAAAAGCTGTCAAAATACAAGAACCTGTTCTAGAAATATAAAAATTTTATATGGGAAATATATAGTATATATAGTTTAGCCCTATATATTAAAATTAGAAACAGGATACCTGGAATCTTTGCGTTGTAGATAGAAAATTGTTCTGACAAGTACAGATGTCATTTCAGGGCTTTATCTATGTAATCTTCGTCTTATTGAAAGAAATTTCTTGGCGAAATGAAAATAAAAAATAATAATAAAACTCTTTTTTATTATCCACCTGACGGTGTTAAAGGACAGCAGAAGGTGTGCTGTGTTGTAAATTATTTGGCTGATGAACAATTGATAATGCCCTTTCGTCTGGAGATGCAGCTTATATTTAAACCAAAGGTAGCTAACTATGTAAAAAAAAAAAAAAAAAAATTCGCTCAAAATTCTTTGTATTTTTAAAATTGTGTCGTCAATAAACGTTAAAAAAAATGTTCAGTCGATAGTTAAAATTATTCAGCTAAATATCTTCTTTGCATTCCATATTTATTGGTTCAAGGTTTCGGTGATGTTTTCAACTGCGTCTTGGAAATTTCTTTATGTCACGCGTGTTGGGATGTCGACCCCTGATTAAGGAGATCCTTTATTTCGCGTTTAGACAAACCGTAGACTTGAAAAAAAAAAAAAAAAAAAAAAAAAAACGTTCAAAATTCTTTGTCTTTAAAATTGTGTCGTGAAGCCAAACGTTAAAAAAAAATGTTCACTCGAACATTATTCGGACTCATTTTTGTCTCCACTTTCTTAAGGTTCAGGTCGTTGAACTCCGGATACTTTATGTGGTTGAGATGTCGAATTGAACCCTTTATTTCGCTCACAGTAGACTGTTCTAGTTCCACGTTCCATGTCTAATGTTATCGCCTGTTAATTCTCCTCTTCAACTTCTCCACTGTCTTAATCAGGTATTGAACTCATACTCTGCAGCAATCATTTTTTACCAGTGCTCATATTGCGATTTTTGCTGTTATCATTGCATGTTTTTACCAGAGCTCATATTGCAATTTTTGTTGTTTTAATCGCTTTTCTCTTGCACTCCTTATTACTGGTTCCCATATTGTATTCATTTCTACGCTTGGTCGGCTCAGGGGATTTTTGTGGCCTAGTAGAACATGTCGAACAGAAGTTAAACAACGCCGAGTCTGGTGTGTCCCTAGACGGGTGACTGTTTAGGAATACCAATTGCAAAAGGATTGGAGAATTAGGACAATGTGATCTGCTTATAGATCTATTCGTGCCAATATATTTTTGAGACGTGCATTTTCTTTTCTCATATTTCCCTCAGCTTACGGTCACCTCACACTGAAACACCAGTTAAGAAACATCGAGCCTGGTCAATACCTAGATGAGTGACCATTTGGTAATATCGGATACTCTAGGCTTGGATGTGCGAGTAGTGAAATAGATAATGGTTCGGAATTAATGGTTAATTGGAGAGCCGTGTTCCAATTCCTGTTGGTCTCATCATATTCACTAAAGTGCAAACACACTTGAGAACGGTATGAATCCACCTCTTCTCCCTTCCAACTATAGGTTAATTCGAAAGAGTTTTATCGCTAAATTATTATTATCTCCAAAAATCAAATTCTTACAATCTAAAAAAAGATTTCTGGCTTTAAATTCCCTGCAAATGGTTGATAAACCGTAAAAAACGAATCAATTAATCAGTCAAGAACAGGTTGCAGTTGCTCTGGTACATTTGTGTTTGCTCAACACCGACAGAGCTCACCTGGGCCGACCTTAGTTACAGTTTCCGGGGAGAGGGTCCATAATATGGCGTAACCACTAGTTTAAACAAGGTCAGTACGCTCAAACCCTTCGGTCACGATGACTTGTGCTGTCACAACCATGGTTGACTTTCAAGCAGTTTCGTTTACCCAGTTTCACTCACAAGGATAAGGTCAGCCCGTTTTCAGGCACTTAACAAAGGTGTCGCACGCTGGGCATGTCTTCCTAGTCACCCTCCTGACAAATCGATCATGGTGAAATTCGAACCCGGGTTT